TGGGGTCAGCAATGGGGTCAGCAATGGGGTCAGCAATGGGGTCAGCATTGGGGTCAGCAATGGGGTCAGCAATGGGGTCAGCAATGGGGTCAGCAATGGGGTCAGCAATGGGGTCAGCAATGGGGTCAATGGGGTCAGCAATGGGGTCAGCAATGGGGTCACAGCATCTGTCACTAACAAGGTCATTAACAAGGCCATTGATAGTGCCATTAACAAGGTCATTAACAGGACCATTAGTAGGGCCATTAACAGAGCCGTTAACAAGACCATCGATGGGGCCTTTAACAAGGCAGTTAGCAAAGCCATTAATAGGGCCATTAATGGGATCATTAAAAAGGCCATCAATGGGGCCATTAACAGGGCCACTAGTAGGGTCATTAACAAGGCCATTAACAAAGCCATTAATAGGGCCATTAATGGGATCATTAACAAGGCCATCAAAGGGGCCATTAACTGGGCCATCAATGGGGCCATTACCAAGGCCACTAACAAGGCCATCAATGGGGCCATTAACAAGGCCATTAAGGAGACCATTAATGAGACCATTAACAGGGCCATTAACGAGGCCATTAATGAGGCCATTACCAAGGCCATTAGTAGGGCCACTAACAAGGCCAATAGTAGGGCCATAAGCAGGGCCATTAACAAGGCCATTGATGGGGTCATTAACAGGGCCATTAACAAGGCCATTAGTAGAGAAATTAATTGGGCCATGACAAGGCCGTTATTAAGACCATTAATGGGGCCGTTAACAAGGCCATTAGTAGGGCCATTAATGGGGCAATTAACAATATCATTAATGGGGCCATTAACAAGGCCATTAATGGGGCCATTAACAAGGCCATTAGTAGGGCCATTAATGGAGCAACTAACAATATCATTAATGGGGCCATTAACAAGGCCATTGATGGGGCCATTACCAAGGCCATTAGTAGGGCCATTAATGGAACAACTAACAATATCATTAATGGGGCCATTAACAAGGCCATTAATGAGTCCATTACCAAGGCCATTAGTAGGGCCCTAAGCAGGGCCATTAACAAGGCCATTGATGGGGCCATTACCAAGGCCATTAGTAGGGCCATTAAGGAGGCCGTTAACGAGACCGTTAACAGGGCCATTAACGAGGCCATTAATGAGGCCATTACCAAGGCCATTAGCAGGGCCGTAAGCAGGGCCATTAACAAGGCCATTGATGGGGCCATTACCAAGGCCATTAGTAGGGCCATTAAGGAGGCCATTAAGGAGGCCATTAAGGAGGCCATTAAGGAGGCCATTAACAGGGCCATTAAGGAGGCCATTAAGGAGGCCATTAAGGAGGCCATTAAGGAGGCCATTAACAGGGCCATTAACAAGGCCATTGATGGGGCCATTACCAAGGCCATTACCAAGGCCATTAGTAGGGCCATTAAGGAGGCCATTAAGGAGGCCATTAAGGAGGCCATTAAGGAGGCACCTGGTCGTCGTGGATGTCCTTGAGCGTGTAGCTGACGACGCTGATGCCCATGTTCACCAGGTCTGATGAGGCCACCTTGAAAACCTGCTCGGAAAACTTCTGCCGGTCCTTGTAGATCTCCGGGGGGCGGGGCTATGCAATGGGGGGGGGGGCTCCAAGGAATGGGGCCGTGCAAAGGGGCGGGGCTATGCAAAGGAGGGGACTCACAGAAAGGTAGTGGTGCAAAGGGGGCGGGGCTATGCAAACAAGGGGACTCAAAGAAAGGTAGTGGTGCAAAGGGGGCGGGGCTATGCAAACAAGGGGTCTGGGAGGAATGACGCAGTGCAAAGGGGCGGAGCTATGCAAAGGAGGGGGGTCTCAAAGGAATGGGGTGGTGCAAAGGGGGCGGGGCTATGCAAACGAGGGGCCTGGGAGGAATGACGCAGTGCAAAGGGGCGGAGCTATGCAAAGGACGGGGGTCTCAAAGGAATGAGGTGGTGCAAAGGGGGCAGGGCTAAGTAAATGAGCCAGGGCTTCACAAAGGAATTGGGTTAGGCAAAGGCGTGTGGCTATGCAAATGAGCTGGGGCTTCTCAAAAGAGAGGCTATGTGAAGAGGGCGTGGCTATGCAAATGAGACCTCACGGAGATAGGGCTATGTATGCAAAGGATGCATGGCAAGGCAAACCAGGCATATTCATGCAAATACAGCACAACTATGGGTCTGGGTGTGATTATGCAAAGAGGGTGTGGTTATGCAAATGGCCATGTGCCTATACAGAAATGTGGGGTTTTTGCTGTGTGTGGCTATGCAAATGAAGCTGTAGATATGCAAAAGAATTGGCACTGCTAAGTGGGTGGGGCTATGCAAATCAACAGGGCATCCCAGTGCCGTGGTTGGCAACGGGGGCGTGGCTTCCAGGAAAGGGGCGGGGCTTCATGGAGTGTGTCCAAAATGGGCGTGGCAATGGGGTTGGGCTATGAGGGGCGTGACTTATGTCAGTCATGAGGTTAGGGGTGGGGCTTCTTGGGGCTGTGGCCAATCACGGGGCAGGGCTTATAGCAGTGGGCGGGGCTTACAGCGGCACTGCCTCCATCGCAGCTCAGAGCTGCTGCCAACGCTTAGGGCTGCTGGGGGAAACGCACCGGCTATGTGAGCATGGCCTATCGGGGGGCGTGGCCTATCTCGGGGGGGGCGTGGCCTCCTCACCTCCACCGTCATGTGGGCCATGATGGCCCGCTGGTGGCCCTCCAGGGTCTCGAGGGCGATCTGGGCGATCTCACTCTCCGATTTGCCCAGGAACATCTGGCAGGCGGCCGCCAGCATCTCCTTGTTCTGCCCCTGGATCTTCACCTGCACGCGGTGCCCGTTTTAAGAGGGCGCTGCCTCCGCAAGCCGCCTCTTGCACGGGTGGGGCCCACCGGGAAAAAGACCCTTCTGTTACTGATGCGTCCCCGCATAAAAACGGCGCTGAGAGTCAGCGGGCGTTGCCCCTTTAAGAGCGCTCTGCTTTCTCGGTGGGCCCCACCTCCGCGGGGCCGCTTTAAGACTACGCCGCGTCCCAATGGACGCCGCTGAGTGACATCGCCCTTTTAAGAGCCGCTCCGCCGCAGCGCCAGGCGGGACCCACCGCGGGGTGAATTAAAAGTGGCAATGCGGGGTATCTGGGGATACCGGGGGGTACCGGGGATACCTGGGCGATGCCGGTGACGGAGATGGGGACCCCGTGGCGCGTGTAAACCTTCTCGCTCCGCACGTTGAGGGTCAGAGTGTTCAGGGAGATGCTGCGAGAAGGGGGACGGCCGCCACGCGTCACCCCTCTGTCACTCTGCTGTGCCCCAAAACCACCCCACGTCCTTCCATCACCTCCAGCCCCCCCACGGCCCCCCAATCCTCTCCAGTCCCCCTACGCCCCCCCTCTGTCATTCTATGTCCCCCCACGCTCCCCTACACCCCCCCATTCCCTCCTTCGCCCCCCCAGATCCCCTCACGCCCCCCCGCCCCGCTCACCGCTGGATCTGCTGCAGACACGGCACCACCAACACCCGTCCGCCCGCCACCATCACGGGGGGGCTGCGGCAGAACCCTGCGGGAGGGGTGGGGGAGGAACGCGGCGATGCGGGGTGAGTCCCGGAGCGCCGGTTCCGCTACCCAGAGCTGCTGGGGGAGGGTTGGTTTCCCACTCACCCGACACCACCATGGCCTCGTTGGGGCCGCAGGTGAAGAACATGGCGGTGGGGGCGCGGGGACGGCGCCCGGTGCGCGTGTGGGAGGGGGCGCGTGTGGGACCCCAAACCCCCAGCGGGGATCTGCCGAGCTCCGCCCGCTGCGGCCTCGCCCGCTGCACTTCCGGCAGCTCCGAGCCGCACTTCCGGTTTCCCTTTGCCGCACTTCCGGCAGCTCCGAGCCGCAATTCCAGCCGCTCCGAGCTGCACTTCCGGTCTCCCTTTTCCACACATCCGGCAACTCCGAGCCGCACTTCCGGCCGCCCTTTGCTGAACTTCTGATTGACCCGGAAGTGCACTGCGCCCCCGCCCCGAGATGAGGGCAGAGACCCTAAAAGCGGTCCCCAAAGTCTCCAAAAATGCTCGGTTGGCCTCAAAGTTCCCTCAGGAGCCCGCGGGGCCGGGAAGGACCCCCAGCTGCCCTTCGTGCCCCCAAAATGATCGATTTGTCCCCAAACTGCCCTCCAAGTCGTTGGTCACAGCAACGCGGTGAAAACCGTGCGAAATGAACTCAGGCCCACTTGGCTTCGTCGCTGCCGCCCACCAGAGGGCAACCGGGGGCCGTTTGGGTCCAATTTAAGAGATTACGGTTAAATTTCTGTTCTGTTTTTCCGGCAGTATGGGGCGCGCGCCCACAACAACCATGGCGGCTCCGCCCTCAGCAGCACGTAGTGCGCATGCGCCCTGCCGCCATGACAGTGTCGCGCATGCGCAACTCTGAGACTGAGGGCACTCCGGGCCCAAGTGCCAAACCCGGCTGAGGTTCTGCGCACGCGCAACCGGAAGTGAGGCTTCCCTCGTCGCCCCTGGATAAGGGGCGCGGAAACCCCTTCCGCTCCTTCTTTCGGCTCCGGATCCGCAGCGGCCGCCACGTGAGAGCGGGGGGTGCGGGGATGGG